AATAATAGGTGATACAGATATGCAGAAATAGGTTCATTGTGTAACTTTGTCCTGTGGTCATGGTAGGTGAGAAGAACCCCATGTGCTTTCTACAAAATAGAGAACCAGGTAAGCTGGTACATCCCAGTGATCCCAGAGATCTGATTACAATGATAATTGCTGGATTAACTTTCAAGCTGATGCTTGAGAATGAGTAACTGAGCCTGTAACTCTTCAAGGCAAAATGTGTTTGATTCTGGTTAGGTTATATTGCCAGCATGGGCCAGGGATACTATTGATTCCATTTGCCACCCCCCCCCCCAATGCTTGGGTTACTGTGTACATTAACAGTCCTAGGTTTTTCCAGGGGTGATGGACTCAGATAATTATATGTGAAGTGAGCACTTATCCAACTGAGTCATCTGTTAAAACCATCAACTCTTTATAAGCAGCATTTATACCTATTTTGAGTAATCACATGTAAAGTTTCTAGAACAGTGCCTAATATACAAGGGGTGCTCTTGAATCATTACAGAAACATTGATTATTTGTTAAGTGCTCTGAATTAATAGCTTGCAGCTTTGGTTAATTTTTAAAACCTTCCAGAAACCCATTGTATATTCATCAGATAAAACTGCTCAGTTATGTGTTTAGCAATGCCACTGGCAAAGGTGTCTAGGTGACTTAGACATGTAGAAAGAGCACAAGAGAGAGCCAGGATTCCCACTGCCCTAGAGCCTTAGATTGCTCTTCCCCAAGAAAGGATGAAGCCTTGTGACTGGAAAGTACTGCCAGTCCATTGCACACTAAACCAGAGGAGGAGTTCTAGTTTCTGCATCCCAGCTTCATGACTACAGCTTCTGTTCAGTCTTCTCAGTTTGTGATCTAACTAAGAGAGAAAAAGAGTCAGTCTCCTTTCTCACACACTCTCATCTGAGGTAGAGTTCCTAGGCTTCCTATCAGGCCAGAAAAAGATGTGTATAACTAATCATTACAGAGACACTGTCACCAGTCAATATCTAACAGAGAGGTAACTGGCCTAAATTTAGACCCTTAGCTTCTCTATAGGTGGATAAGGAATTTCTAGAAAATTCTGACATGGTGTCATACAATTTGAATAGAGATGAGAGTAATTGTCTTGGGAAGTTGATCTTGAACTGTATTAAAATGTCTCAACATGTGTTTCTTCCTGCAATAAAAATAGGACCTCCCTATTTCATTCATAGCTTTCTGTTCTACAGTGACAAAGCTCTTCTCAACATGGACCTCTACTCTGGTTTTCTATGTAATACTGCAAGACAGGTATCATCCATAGATGCCAAAGGTATAAATCAAGTGTTGTAGCTGGCATGTCTGTTCTGGCTGGTTTGCTTCTAAAACATTTTCTTACTGCTCTATCCCTCTCCCAGCTTTGATAAAGAATCCAGCAGCTATTATAGAAGCAGTGAGCATGATTGTTGGATTCAGTTGAGTTGGGATAGGACTCATGTATTTTCCTTTTCTTACAGTATGATGGTGAGAAAACTATGCCACTAGTTTTCACATAGTGAAAAACTATGGAATTTGCTCTCAAATTCCACAGATCTATTTTGTGAAAAAAGGTTATAATTCAGACTTTACTTTGTTATGTTATGTTACATATATATATATATATATATATATATATATATATATATATATATAAAATTAGGTTAATAAAATTAGGTACTAATTTATAAGATTAATCAAAAACCAGTATTAGACATTTACGTCAATAGTCTTTCCACTGTGCTATGATGGAAATTTTTTTTTCATTTTAGAATAGTACTGCACATTGGCATCCTAAGGGCTCAGTTCCAGAATATTCTGCATAGCATCCACAGATATTCAAGTTTTTGGTATAAAATGACATAATAGTGATTCTCCACAATATCCTAATATGTTGTAAAGATTAAATAAACAACTGATATACAGTATAATTTGGGAACAATGAGAAGAAAAGCAATCATGTTCTGTATATAAGCAAGTTTTCTTTTGCCTCTACCAGACAAATAAGGAAATACATCTATATTGTTATCTAACATCTGGCCTTTACAAATAGATTATGTCTCTGACTTTTTGTTATGGATATAATTATAATAGCAACCTTGTAACACACAAAGCATGAAATCAACTACAAGAATAAAATAAAATCTATGAATCAGAAGTGATAGATATTCAAAATCATAAACTGTTAACAAATTAAATCTGTTTGAAGGTTAAAAGTATCAATAATTCAGTAACTGACTAAAATTTATTTCAGAATCCAAGGGTAAATCAAAATAGAAAAATATAAGATAGCCTAATACATCTATATAATGTACAGTTGAGAGAAGTTGGCATGAATGCGAAAAGGACAATTGATATACTGTACTTACATGCATACACACACACATACACACACATATACATGTGTATACACATATACGTGTGTGTATGTGTGTGTGTTTGTGTGTGTGTGTGTGTGTTCGTGTGTGTGTGTGTGTGAATGTTTGTAGACTTTCATGAACTTGTTTATGTGTAAGGAGGCCCAAAGTTGACACCAATGTTGTCCCAGGTAGCTTTAACCATCAATCTGACATAGTGAATCATGCAAGAAAAGATTTTTGAGTGATTGAGTAGATTGTGTCTAAGAGCATGTCTATGTGTTTTTTTTTTCTGATTGTTAATAGATGTAGAAGGGCCAGTACACTCTAAACAACATTATCTCCTGGACAGGTGGTCCCAGACTGTATTAAAAAGCTTCTTAAGGCTATAACAAAATCATCAGTCAACATTCTACTCCTCCATTGTTTCTATTATAATTCCTTGGCAGTGAGTGAGATCTTTGGTTAGAGTTAATGTGATAGCAAGCAGCCTGCCTTCAGATTTCTGCTTGAATTCCTGCCCAGGCTTGCTTCAATGACAAATTATAATCTGGAAGCTTGAATAAACCCTCCCTTCCCTAAGTTGCTTTTGGTCATATTGTTTTTATCAAAGGAACAGAAAGGAAACTCTAGCTGGTATTTCTTAGTTCCTTTTTACCTTACATGTTGGAGTCAGCTCTCTTCTAGACCATAAACTTGCTATTTGACTAGTCCTGCTAGCCAATTTTCTATAGGCATGGCCTGTCTATGCCTCTTGAATGCTGAAACTATAGGCAGCTGCCAGATTCTGCTGGCATGTACATGGGTTCTAGGGATGTGAACTCCTGCCCTTATGTTTCTGAGGCAAATACTTTTCCAAGTGAACCATTCTGATAGCCTAGTCCTGGCACTCCACTATTTTTAAATCAAGAACAAGTTTATGATACTAATCAGATTTTATAAAATAAGGTCTTTTAAAATTGAAATAATTCAGTTCTCTATATCAAGCTCTATTTTCAAAAAAATTAATATCAAAGTATGATTAAAATATAGCTAAATATTCAACATTGTATTTAGTTCACTTTGAATTAGACACTTGTTAAATGTAACTATTTTAGTTTACTAGGGTAAGTACTTACCCATAGTAAGTACCATCTGATAAGGCTACATATTATTTATGTTTACTTTTAACTAAATATATTTAATACACACTTTAAAATAGTAATATTAATCTCATAGTAAAATTAAATGTATTGAAATATTTTAATCAGGAAGCATGCTTTGGTACCTATTTACACTGACATATAAAGTTTTCATAATAGAGTAAATATTAAAAAAAAATAACAATCTCCTTCAATATTTCTTAGAATGACCAAAACCGAAATTCACAAGGTTGGGAATGGTTCTGTGAATGGAGTACTTACATACATGTATGAGGACTTGAGTATCACAGAACCCATGCTAAAAAATAATAGGTGAAGCTAGGCTTTTTCTCACCCATTGAGGTCAGACAAGGCAACCCAGCTAAAAGAATATATCCCACAGACAGGCAACAGCTTTTGGGAAAGCCATGTTCCAGTTGTTCCAGACCCACATGAAGACAAAGCTGTACAACTGCATTTGCTCTATATGTGAGAGGAGGCCTAGGTCTAGCCCATGTATCTTCTTTGTTTCATGATTCAGCCTCTGAGGGCCACACAGATCCAGGTTAGTTGACTCTGTTGGTTTTCCTGTGGAGTTCTTATCCCCTTTGAGGTTCACAATCCTTCTTCCTATTCTTTCATAAAAGTCCCCAAGCTCCATCCACTGTTTAGCTGTGTGTGTCTCTACCTGAACCTATAATATAATATAATTACAATAATTATATTATATTATATTATATTATATTATATTATATTATATTATATTA